AAAACCTCCCATAGTCAAATAACAATAGCTATATTGTCAAAAGACTGACAAAAGTTGGAAGAAATATACAGTTCATACAGATATGAAACTATAATTTGAAACAATCACCTACCATTTCTCTTGGGCCCAAAAGAATCGAATGACACTTACAGTTGTTAAAATAAGAATTGTCCTAAAAACTGCAAGCGCCAAACCTGCAAACTCTTCTTTTTCTATTTTCATCTTGTGGTACACGATTTAAGTGAAATTTTCCTTTTGCAAATAGTCATCAGTAACAACAGCCACATACAATAGTAATGGTATCGAAAGATGACACCATGATAACACAACTACTGCATTCAACGTAATGTTAGATATCATTCTTCCACCCGAAAAACTTGTTGTCACTTACAACCTTGTCTATTGTTGAAATTAAAGCATTGACCATGCTTATACCGTTTTTTGGAAAACCCTACATCCTTGCAGTAATTGGTTAATTAGGGTCTGGGGCCTGCGAGTACTCCAGGTGTAGACGCATGTACTGTCGTGGCAGTTTTTTCCTTAGTTCTAACAGTGTTAGTTCTTCATCGTTTAACATCTCTTTATAAATATAACTATTACTCTGACATACTCTACGCGTGTATTATTTTATTTCACATAACCCCCTTAACATCTATAAATACTCATCAATTCGGTTTCAATATTTCGTCACGAGCCTGACGCGATAACGTGAAGCGAGGGGTCAGCCCCGTAAACATGGCTGCCGGGGGCGATGGGTACAAGACACGGGTCGGCCGCTGTCGGCATTGAATTCTGGCATGTGTCAGACGGTAGCTGCCGTACGCGTCGATGTTCCGCAGTCGCAGCCAGCGTGCACGGCCCGGCCAACCAGCCACGCGGCCCAGCAGCGGATTAGCGGCGGCAGTTTACGGCCGTTAAGACCATTACACACCGATCTGCCGTGGTCGGTAATATGGACGCGGCAGGCGAGACCGACTGTCAGGCCGATCGTAAGTTACAACGGGACTTGAGACACGGGATTACGCTTGTAACGCCTACAAACGGCGTTTACCGACGCCGTGAGATCATCGTCGAAACGGCGAACCGGTCGTTTGCAGATCGATCGTGAGGATTCGCCAAGGATTATGGATTTAACGCTAAAACTACCACATACGACGAAATAACCCATTCCTGATAAGAACTTGAAGAAAGAATAAGAACTCTTTGCAATTATTGAAAAGATAACAGACGATTCTCTGAGAAACAACTGCTCATTGGTCAAATCGAGTAACTCTATTTTTTGAATATTTTATCGTTAAAATGCTTCATTGGCTCTTGACTTTTGATATTTAAAATAAATTCCCTTGTTACTGAGTGTGATACCATGAAATGGTATTGCGAAACTTGCAGTAATAATAAAAACTACTTCGAAGTTATATTATTTTATACATTTTACGTATTCTTTAGATTAAAGATACACCTGTAATAACGAAGTGAAATACCTTCTACATATAATGATTATTTAGTTTTCTATTTAAAGGAAAATTTTAAAGATCAATTTTCTCTGTCTTTTTTTTGTAGAGTTAACTGATTTGATCAATGAGTAGTTCAATTAAAGAAATTGTTTTAGGAATACGCAAACTGAATTCTAATTCAATAGAAATCTCAATAGATACACTAGCGGAGTTTCTGTAGAACAATTCGCGAATGTTAATTTGGCTGTACGGTAGGTTTAGTGTTAAGAGTGTATTCTCGTGTAACGGGACTTATTTTACAACTAAATGTTCTTCAGGGATTTCTTCTTAGAGAATTTTTAATTATATCAAAATCACGTTTCTTCATATATATGAGGAGGTATTTTTAAATTCTAAAGATAAATTGCTTTTATCTTCTATTATCTTTTTCTTATAATTATCTTCTTGTTTATTAGCTTTTAATACTTAATTCATTTTTTTCATAGTTTTTGTTAAATAATTTGAAAAATTTACGTTGTTCTACAGGATTTTAAAGATTTCATGTCTTCTATTTTATCATACGAATTCTTATGAATAACTTTGATTTAAATAGTGGAATGTAATTGTCGTGAATGCGATACGATAAACGCGCGATGGTCTTATATTTTAAGCCGCGTGTAACACGAACGGGAGTAAATACTGAATTATTTGCTCTGCGGGGACAATGTAATTGGTTAATTCGAATTTGTCCGAAATCTCCACCATCATCTCCATAAAATCAGGGTAACGCGAGGAAAATTTGAACGAACGTCCCCCGACTCGCTTCTTGGAATTCGTTCTTGAACGGGCCACCGTGGAATTCACCGGAGAACCGGGTTCTCTCATGTCGGAGAATTTGGGATTGGAGTGCTGTAAATTGAAAGCGAAATCGGCAGTCGGACTGGAACGCGCACCACTATTTGGTCTTCGAGTGGATTTGATGAAATCTGAGTCAGTGTAGCTGATACCGGAGAAAATTTCACGTAATTCTCCAGCTGAAGTTTGTTCCGGGGCGAATCTTGATAAGCTTAATTCCGCTAATCTCGGATAATTATTTGAACGCGGATGTTTACACGGATTCTCAATCCCAGCCATTGATTTGCGCAAAAGAAGATTGAATACAATTCCGTTTTTTTTCATTAAATGTAATTGAAATTTTTATTTTACATTTTTATATCGTAATATTTTCCACGCATTTCGCTTAATCTTTTTAAAGAGGAAGAAGTTTAATAAGCATTCATTTTAATTAAAAAAATGCATAAATATTTTAATGTAATCTACTCACAGGAAAATGAAATATTCAATGTAATAATTATTTCTTCGTCTGCTCCCATAAATCCTGTGACCAAACTCATTAAAATCATCGATTGAATTTGAAAAATATTATCTACCTATCAAAAGATCAATGCAATTCGAGTCCTCTGATTAAATATTTCACAAACCAAACACACTTATTCTTCAAACGAATTCGTGCCTGTCCTTTTTCACGTATTGAAACCGAAATTACGAACGTGAAAACGATATTTCTTCGTATCGCGAGTTCCTCGTCCTTTCGTTCCTCGAATACCCGGAAAGTAGGAGATTGCCAAGGATTTCGGACGCAAAGTTTGCATTATCCGCGAAGGATATTGCATCGTGTTACAGGTATAGTGATAGACGGGCGCCAGATTTTGCTCGCGTTCGCTGCTGAACATTTCATTATGTGGTAAAAGCAAGTTATTAGAAGTCGGCTTTCTTGGGCCGCTTTCAGCGGCCGCAACGAATCCTTCCCCGAAGGTTATCTCCGCCTCGCAATTCGGTTTACCTGTGTGCGCGGACAGGTATAAGTACTTGGCGCTAGAGGTGTTAACAATTTCTGGTTGGTTGCGGAAACACGAAAGAATTTCACTTTTCAAATGTATCCGCGGCGGAATGAAAGAAGCTGCATCGCGGCCGCTTTGAAACCAGCCGCGTTCCTTAAAGACTTGTTCCTTGTCCGATTTTATTACATTCAATTGTATTCGTTAGTCTGAATGACTTGCGCGATATCGTACTACAGTAGTGTTCGACTACAATTTTTTAATTTCTAGGCCCAACATTAAAATTCTTATGAGCAGGGTAGCGTTCTTCTTTCAGGGATTGACTCGAGCATAGTTTGACAAAGTCGGGGAATGGGTATAATGAGCAGAAGCAAGATAGATACAGTATGTGGAGCATCGACGGTCGAGACCCAACACTTTAAAGCGATGCCACGAACGTGAAACATGAACGTGCAATAAAGAAAATATCAATTTGATTAATTTTAATTTTACCTGGTCAAACGTAATGCCAATTGGTTGTTGGAACTGTTGTGATTAAATTGAGAACAAATACGATGTAAAACGAATTAGTTTTACCGACTTAATGTAATTAACAGGAAATTACTAGTATCCGGTTTTTTTAATTCGCAATTATGGTTATTTTAATTTTGTGAAATATTCGAAATGATTTTAAAAATAAATAAATTGTTATAATTTCTATAACGATTACACATTAATTATATAAAACAGGCAGTAGTTCTTGTGTTAAATAATTTGATAACATATTATTGGGTCATCATATAAATAATGTGGTTTTTTATATTTCTTTTATTCTTAAAATGACAGACAAAATTCGTTTTAAAGTAATTTAAATGTATAGATAGACAATTTATAGATGATGAAGGAGAATATGTTTTCGATTAAAAACAGTTTTGTTTATATTTATATCTAAAAATAAAAGAAATATAAAAAATCGCATTATTTATGGGATGACCCAATAATTAACGAAATTAAATTCCAAATCGAAAGGTAAGAATGAAACTACTGAAACTGAAATTTTTATCATTGCACGATACCTGTTTACGTTCGCGGCGCTCTATTGAAGTATATTTGTTTTATCTTTATTCATTGTATTAATTTATTTTCCTTGCTGCTGAGATTAGGTTACATGATTAGATAAGATTTCAATGATTAACACTAGAATTATTAAAAATTTTAACAACAGATATTTTCGATTTTCTTCGTATAATATTCATTATAGTGTTCACGTGAAATCATTTCTTTTACATTCGTTTCAGATATTTCATACATTTAAGGTATCAATGATTGCAATACAAATGTACTAAGAAATATCACTTTGATAACGAGAATGTATAATGTATAAATGTAGTTAAAAAGATACAAATACCTGCGAACAAAATTTTAACGATTCCACACTCCGCAAGGTTTCCATGTGAATTTACATTTTTATAATCAAAGTAAAATGGAATTTCCTTTCTCGTGTAATATAATAATCTTTACGGATTAACGTTGGAGAAGGATAAAATTCTATGGAAGTTTCTATAATGGTTTCTTTTGTAAAACCTTTGTGGAATGCCTGAATTATTCGTTTGCTTTGGCAGTTTCCTTTGAAAGTTATTCTCATTAATACATTTCTGAGCTTCAACGGAAAAGTGATCGTAACGTGTGTATCAATTTTCCGCAACGCCGGTTACCAACAGATTTAGGAACAAACAACAATTGTACTCACATTTGATGTCCAGATTTAGAGGATTGCTCTCTCCGTCGCCTTCCTGATTGCTGCCAATGCAAGTGTAGATACCAGCTCTGCCGCGAGTCACGCTTTGTAGCACCAGGCTTTGGTTGCTGATTATTGTGCCGGTCGCTGGATTATGATACAATGGATTTCCCTGTGAATGCATCAAAATATATTCTCATTGCTGGGCAAATATCGCATCATTAATAAACGACGAGGACGATGGTGTAGAAACGTTGACCTTTCATCGCATCGAATAAAGAAATACCTTACAACGATGAATTCCATTTAATAACCACCACAAACATTCAAATGTATAAATATCCTCCATTATTTATGTAGGGAGCGATTCAATTATAACAGGGAAATGATAAGTTACGAGGGCAATGCATCCGGAAGACCGTGGCCTTTCTAACAGCACCCTAGAAAAAGAAGTGCCGATGAACGCTAAAGGGATAGTGCCATCGACAGTATGTGAACAAACGAGATCCGACTATTTCTATTGTTTGCATTTAAAATTAATAAGACAATAATACTGAGTTCGTTAGCCTATGGT